AGATTGTATACCTTCCTAAAGTGAAGAATATTTTTGTAAAGCATGTGATTACTTCCTCATTTATGTACTTTGAAAGATAAATGAAAGTATCAAGTTTTGAAAGTTTCAAGTTTTTTATCTTCCGTTTTCTCAGGATCCAATTTCTGGAACACAACTTTTCTTTAAGAAACTTTTCCCCTTCATGTGTTTAAGGGAAAAGGGTGCTACTTATGCAAAGATGAACCTTGGAAAGGTGTCACAATGATGTTAGCCCATTGCAGGCCACGACCTCTCCCACCAGCACGTTTTACTAGACATGCTGAAATGATAATTCCAGGATGCAACCACTTGTTGCAAAACAGTTGTGACATCTTAGGGCAAGGCTGCAATGATTTCAAAGGTTCCCAGAACAGCTTTTCTTCTGGATATTCCCTATGGGACAGTGATGTGTGTGACTTTGGTTTTTCAACTGATTCATAAATATTTGCACTCATTTGTATTTTGTAGGAAACAGAAGTCACCGAAATTCATAAGGGTCGTCACAATACATTCTGGCCAGGTGACAGCACACACACCATGGGTCAGGTTCGAGAAACGGAGCTTATGTTACGTAGATAGGAATTTAATCTGGGGAATTAGGAGTAAAGTTGGGAGCTGACAGAGCAAACAGTGGAATGCAAGGCCTCCCAGAGGGTAGTCATTGCAGGAAGCCAGGGCTCCTGGGAGCAGAGAGGGAGAAAGGAGGTGCAGCCAGGCATCCAAAGCCAGGCCCAGCTGTGTGAGCCAGTACTGTGGGGGAGTAGCCACCCAGGTGGAATGAAGCACGGAGAAGAGACAGGTAGGGGTGCTGCCTGGGTAGGGAGGGGTCCCCTGCTCCTAGTCCTTCCTGCCAATCTCTTGCCAGTGTTGCCACCCAACCAGGTTCATCCGCCCGCTGCCCAAGAAGAAGCCAATACGCTGAGTCAGCAGGGTTTACAAGGTGGAGAAAGAGTCTTTATTCTGCATAGCGCTAAGCGGGAAGATGAGAGAAATTTCTCAAATCTGCCTCCCCAGGGATTTGGGAGGCAGGGTTTTTCAGGGTAGTTTAGCAGGCAGGGGATTAGGTAATTGGGGCAGAATTATAGGGGTGTGGAAATCATCTCCTTGTGTTGCTCCAATCCCTGGGATCACAATTCCAGTTGAGTCAGTTTCTTGGTCTGGGCCACCGCTCTGGGTGGGCCAATGGATTCCCTGGAATGTGGGGCCTGGAAGATATCTTGAAAACTACCTTTAGGTTCCCAAAAGGCGATGTTATATACAGAGAAAGTTAAGAGTCTTTATGGACAGCAGCTATGGGGAGAAGTTAAGAATCTTTATGACCACCAGCTGCCAGTGGCTCCAAAGTAGCAATATTATCATTGTTAAACAATTATCATTGATAAACGATTATTATCATTGTTTTTAGCTAGGCCCTTATCAGTTCTCACCTTGCACCCTGTTACTGAAGGGCGGTTTCAGCACTGCCTCCCATAGGCCAGCCTGGCTGGAGGCTGGCAGGGGAGTCCGCGAAGTACATTCGGTGGGGACAATCCCAGTGTTGTAGAGCAGACAGAGGAGGGCGGGAGGTCCCTGAGTGTGGTGGCAAACAGCCGGCACAAGCACATCTTTGCTGCCAGTGCCCGTTCTCATGGTTCTACACATATGTAACTCCCACCAGGACCACCTCTCCTTCATGCGCCCTCTCCCCTCAAACCGAGAGACACAAATCCCAGCAATCCCTGGGTCCCTCTCAAAGTCCAGGCAGTGATACACAGCCCTGCCGTGGGAGCACGTGTTGCTTTGGGTGGCCTACCTGCCATCCTGTGGACTGCATGCGTTAAGTGCCACCAGTTCTCAACTGACGTACCAGGCAGCAGGTAAAGTGGAATGATATATGTGTGCCTATGAGGTTTTTTAATTAATGTTATTTATTATATTTTATATTCTATTTGATTTATTTTACTGTTTAAAACAATTGCAGTTCTCATTTCTGTAACTGTCATGAAGTTGATATCACTTTTTTCCCCCTCACTTCCCATTCCCAGTTCCCTTTGGTGGTTGGGGTCTTTACCTGGTAGGATGACGCAAGCCTTAACTTCTGAGTAGCGTGAGTCCTCAGTGGTTCTGCCTTTAGCGGTTACCTGCAGTTTCCCATTGGCATTTACTTTTGGACGTGGCAGGACTAAGTGGGGCCCACTAAATCCCCTGGGTACCAAACCTGGTCCTCTTCCATCCCCAGTGCCCAGTGCCAACCCTGCGTTCCCTTGGAGATTGGGATGTTTTGCCCAACCAGCCCAGTCGCTCCCCTTCTCTCTCTGCCTGTTGACTCTGGTATGGAATCAGACCTCAGCATGCGAGTCAGTGGGAATGCTGTTGCTTCCTCTGGCAAAGTGTTTTCTCCTTGGCAACCAAGACCTCTGCACCTCCAGAAATCAGGTTTCCAAAGTTGAAAGCAGATTATTAGGTAATAGTGGGGGATTCACTGCCATTTCCACCCTTTTATTCCTGGACCTGTGGCTTCCTTCTGTGGAAGAAATCACACCACATATTGCTCTCTGGCTCAAAGCGTCTGGTAGGCCAGCACCCCAGGCTTGTCTTCCAGCCACTTCCATAACTGAGTATATGTGTGTATATAAGACTGGACTCAAACAGGTTCAGAAGGTACAAGCATTGAGTGGGTGACCCAGAGTCTCATGACTCCTGCTGCGTTGCTCTCCCCAACCTGAGGTCCCATGGAAGCTCCTTATGACCATACGTGGCAGGGGTGTTAAAACTTGGGTCTAGTTTACAAATGGACAGACACAACATGTCGGCACCAACAAGAAATGGACTGCTGTTGCATTAGGCACCTCTCGAGGGTGGCCCTGAAGGACAGTGGTGAAGTGAAATCTTCCCAGCAAGTAAAACTTTGGCTGCTTTGCCTAAAAGGAGAGGTAGTCAGAGAGGAGGATCTGCACTGATCATAGCCACTGGCTAATGATATGGCTGCTTGGATGGCACAAGCAGCCTGAACACAATTGGAAGATTTAGGACGAGGATGTCTGGGAAGGCTTCTGAGCTCTCAAAGTGGGCAGAGCATGATGATGCTTGTCCTGTAGGATTGTTTGCCAGTGGCATCCACAGCAGAGGAGACTTTTAGAATTCAGGTGCACAAGATGACAGTAAGGGTGAATATATTACCTCCCTTCTATCCCCAGCTTGCTCCATGGCACGTGTGCAAAGCGGCCATGGCAACAGGGATGAAGGCTGTACATGGGCTCAGCAACACAGCCCACCCCTCACCAAGGCTGATCTGACTGTTGCCACTGCTGGGCGCCACCCTGCACTGGCAGAAGCCAACACTTCTTCCCCAACACGACACCATTTCCAAGAGCAGGGTGCTGGGCGGCCATCTCCGTGGTAGTAAGTTGATGACATTAGATGTCTTTCCATCATGGAGGAGCAGGCAATTGTCTTCACTACAAGGGACAACTATTCAGGCTGTGGATTTGTTTTCCTTGCCTGCAAGGCTTCTGCAGGCACCACCATCCATGGACTTAATATTTTATGTGCCATCACGGTCGCCTGAAAGACCTTGCTCTGGCGAAGGGCCTCTTACACACCAAAGGGATTAAGGTGTTTTGCACTTGATGGTGCAGTCCTGCTGCAGCTACACAGCCAGGCAGCCTGGGGGTCAGACAGCAACCTGCTCCTGGCGGCAATTTGAGCATCTGGTGTCCTGTGGTCAAGCTTCTAGTCTCTGCCAGAGCCCGGCAGGAAGCCAGAGTGGCATAATTACAGTCATCTGCAGGACATGGTGTGGGTTTGCTCTAACTGGTAGAACATAACGATGTTTTGGTTTTCCAGAGATTAGTGTCAATATACATTTAGTGCTAAATAAGTCCCTAAAAGTCTTGGTATTTCCCTTCCCAAATACAGTTACCCTGTGACTGGCAAATGGCTTCAGGTCCCTTAGGGGAGGGCTTGGAGGCAGATCTATAGAATACTGTGTTCCTGACAGGACTCAAGATTCTTTCCTAAGGAGAAATGGCTTCCTCTCCCGCAAAGGGCCGGTGCCCTGTGAGCTCGCAAAGATCTGGGAACTGACAGAGAAACAACTGCCTTTTGTGGTTACTCAAGTCAGTGTCTGCAGACTAGAACCAGAATTTCTCTGCTTATATCGATTAATGCTTTAGGAGGGTTTCCATTTGTTCCATTTCAGGAGTAGTTGTGATCCCTGTTGTTTAGCTGGCTTTCTCATGTTCCTAAGTTTTTGAACTCCCTTCTTGACATTATGCCAGAGAGGTTCTGGCCTCCCTATTTTGTTACATGTAATCCGCTGTTGGGCCTCACTTTCAGTCTGCCCACCAGGCAGACCATCAGGGCCCCTCTCAGGTAGCACATCATATCCAGAGTCTTGGATAATGGTGTCCCTCTCAATAAATGTAATCTAGTCCAATATCCTATTCCATCTCGAGCTCTTGTGGATATACACAGCAAAACTGTGCAGTCGTTTTGATGCACAAGCCATCTCCTCTAGGAACAGACCCAGGATGCACACATCTGACTCTGTGCATCCGAAAGTAATGAGCAGAGGTGATGATATGTCTTCAGGAAAATAGGTGCATCCTTGCAAGGCAATTGTCCCAGGCGAGATCTTTGAGCAATAATGGTGAGCGGCCTCAGACAGTGTGGAAGAGGATGTTTCTTCTGCTGGTTTGGATGTCTTGGTGAATCTGGGGTTCAGGATTTTCAGATTCTTACAAATCCATCCAAATGTCCCCATCTCAATCTCAAGGTCCCTCTCCCCCTACTAACAATGCTATATATAACCTTAGCATAAGAGACCTGACAAAGCTGAAGGTTGAACTTACCTTGCCGTTTGGAAGCCTGCAAAACTAGATTTGGTGTTGCTGCTTGTGATATTGAGATCAGAAATCCTGTTAGCATCACTACTACAATGGCAGTTGTTAGTGTCAAGCGATGCCTTGACCTGAGCTAAGAGGTTAAGGCCCTGAGCTTACCTTTTCTTTTTCCTTGTAAGCTCTGTAGTGCAACATGAAGTAGCCAGTCCTTCATCATTACTGCCATACTCATCAAGCACAGCAGCAACTTAGTGTCCCAAAGCCTTGCTGTCCACTGGCCTTTCACCGCAAGCAAGCAAAGATGACAGCATACGTCTTTGTGATGTCATAGAATTGATAGAGCTCATCACTGCTCAAGTAGCTAAGCAATCCCAGAATTCCTGGGACCACTTTTGGCATCAAGAAGTATGTCAGTCATGGCAGGGAATGCTTTGAGACCAGACAGATGATATTCTAGTATGGTAATGGGGTGCAAAGTCTATACCCCATTGCCGAGCTACTAGCTGTGTGATCTTGTAATGTTGCATAATCTCCCCTGGGTGTTCTCATTTCTAAAGGGCAGGTGATTGTGTTTCCCTGTCCCACCACATCCTGCCATGTGGACACAAACCATGGATCTCCACTTCCCCCACTTCCCTTCATAGTTCTATGCAACCAGGGGGATGTCAGACCATGGCTGATGGACCGCTGGCCATGAAGGCTCTGCCTAGATAGAGAAACTGGTTAAACAATCCAGTCTCTCATTTGGGAATTAGAATGGGTAAGGCCTGCAAGTTCCCTGGGTTTGGGAAAGTTTTAGGGCCATGGATGAGCTGGTGAAGAAGCAGAGGTGACTTATTCAAGGAGGAGAAGGTTAGAGAAGAGAAGGAAGAACAAACTGGGAGGGGAAGGGACCAGGGAGAAGGAGCAGAGAGTGAGGCCTCTTTGGAGGGTTAGTCCCTGCCTTGGTGCATGGTGTTCTGTCCTGTCTCCTCACCTGGGTCCCTGAGGGGCCCCTTCATCTTTATTCAAAAGCAAAAACAACAAAACAAAACCCTCCCTTTCACTTATACTGTTTGTATGTTCTCTTTCCCTTAAAGCCAAAAGATCTTGCTCTGGGAACAAAAATAACACATCTGGTACATTGTTGTGAGTATTAAATGAGGCAGTTTGTATGAAAGCCTGGTGTACTGTGGGGAAAAAACAAACGAAAAAACTTGTTTTCAGAATCAGATGGCTTAGGGTTCAAATTCTGGGTCTACCACTTATTATGAGTCTGGTCTTGGGCAGCTTCACCTCCCTGTGACTCAGTTTCCTCAATTATAAAATGAAGGTAATAATTCCATTTAGAATGCCCTTCCAGATGTGTCAGTTTGGATTTGTAAACTCCCAACCCTTTTTCAAAGTCTCACTGAAATGACATCTCCACAAATCCTAAGTCCCTAAGGGGAGTCTACCTCTCTTGTCTGCCTCAGCAGACTGATCCTATTCTGTCCATACAATTCTGATTTATGCACCTGCCTTATCTGTGCTACCACTCCAAGAGCATCTGCAATCAAGGGCCATGTTCAATCACCCATTATCCCAATGGGGTGCGGCAGAGAGCCTCTCAGTGAGGAGGTCCCAGATAAATGTTTCTTCAATTGGTGGAGCATATACTGTCCATTTTAGCCACATTCTTTTAATTTACAACTCCTTTTCTTTTCTTTTCTTTTTTTTTGTTACAGAGTCTCACTCTCTTGCCTGGGCTAGAGTGCCATGGCGTCAGCCTAGCTCACAGCAATACAACTTCTTTTCTGAACAGTAAAATTCCAAAGGAAGTCCAGACTGACTTTAGGTGCTTATCATATACAGTAATTTCTGAAATGTGTCCCAGGTGATAGTTAGCAATTATAAAATTAATTTTCCCTTTTGCACTAATGAATGTCATGTGAGTATTCTGACTTCTTCAATGAAAATTTTAGTGAATGCAGAGTAAGGGCTCAAGAATGGAAAAAGATAAAGCACGGTCTATTGTGATTCTGTTAAGATAATGGAAAAAATCTGGAAAAAGTGGGATGATTTATAGGAGATATCAAGATCCCCCAAAGGAGAAGAGAAAAAATGCAGATGGTAAAAATTAACTACAGGATGGGAAGGATGTTTTAACCTATTTTTTTTTAATAGTGGGGCCAAGAAGACCCATATGATTGGAAAGATGAAATCATTTCAGGTAAATTAGAAACAACTTCTGTATTTCCTGAATTTGTGAATGGCCCCAACCTAGACGTCACCTGCGTGGGGAATGGTTAATGAGCGTGCTCTGCTGGGGGCATGCAGACATCCCTGCATTTCAACATGCCAGACAGCTGTTTGTGAAGCAGAATTGGGACACTCCCAACAATGTTCTCTGCATTCCCATAGGAAGAAAATTATACAAGTGTGCTGACTGAAGTCCAACTTAAAATAAATATTTAAATTGGTTATAAATTCCTGTTCAGTGGAGTTTAACTATGAATACGACTGGTGTCTTTACTAAGGGTGAGGAAGGAGCAATACATCCCCTGAAGGGAACTGAATTGACTCAAAGCTCCAAAGACATGAATTAGCTGAGATTGTCGTTAGTTAGTTATTCGTTGTGGAGATCTCACCTCAAGTTCAAAACATTCAATTAGCTCATGGTATATAAGCTGAGTCTCATTTTCTCCCTCAATATAATGATTTCATTGTTAATAGACATAAATCAGAATCACAGTATTTTCTTCATTTAAACAAACCACCATGATATCTAGAGATAAGAAAGATCCTTTTAGAATAAGGTTGAGTCATAGTGGAAGGATCTTATTAAAGCCATTCAAAGATTGACAAATGACAGCAGTGATATCCCAAGAAGGAAATTAGATAACAAAATCTCATAAGCTCAAATAGTACCCTGGTGGCCTTGGCTCAATGGGAGCTCTGTCTTCTGATGGGGGTGTGCTGGGATTTGCCCAGGACTGCAGGTGAGTATGGTCAGGGCTCACAGCAGGGGCTGGGACAGATGGTGGGCTGGGGGTGGGGTAGGACAGCCCCTGCAGCAGGTGCTGAGAAGAAAGAAGGTTTTGTCTGGCAGACACATTGTCTGCCCAGGGTCAGAGCAGAAGGGGCCCCCGGATGAGGTTGCAGGGCTCATGTGAGGGGAAGCAGAGAGGCCAGGAACCTTGAATGAGGGGCTGTCTGCAGGCCCCAGTGCTCCATACCTAGGAGGACAATGACAGCCAAGCACAGCTCCAGTCTGGAGGGCTGAAGTTCTGGGCAGATTAGTTGAACAGGACACTCGGGCCAGACCATAGCCCAGGAATGAGAATTGGGGCCCCCGGCGGGACTGAGTCTCAGGTACAAGCAGAGACCCAGATGGCTAAACTGAGGCACAAGATGGGGGCCTAGATTGGGCAGCAGGAGCTTAGTCCTTGTCTCAGGCTGGGATTGGTTCCAGGAAACCAAAGGGAGGAAGAGCTGAGCCTATAGGAAGGGATCAAGTGGCTGCCAGGCAGAGAACAGAGGAGGAGCTGAGGGGTGAGAAGGGCTAGGCTGACGGGCCTGAGCAGAAGAGTGCTGGTTCTGTTTCTGTTACCAAATGACCTCAGACAAATCTCCTGGGACCTCATTTTCCTCTTCTGAAAAAGAGCAGTGATAACACCAGCACTTCCTAACAGTCTGAGTTAAGGTCTCAATTCCCTTCCCTGGCTCCTTGCCATCCACCTGACCCTTGTGTATAGAGAAAGTGCTAGTTCAGTGTCTGTCTTTAGCTCTATTCTCTCATTATATGCTCTCTCCCTGGGTTCCCTCTACTCCCACAGCCTTGATCTCTGTCTGGACCTCAGTGTACTAGGTAGGCCTCCTGAGGTCAGTTAGGGCTGGCTTATCTGCTGTAACAGAGATTTGATAACTAGATAATGGCCTAACAAAATGAAAAGGTATTTCTTGCTCAGGTAAACAGCCCAAGGCCGTGCTAGGTGGGCAGAGGAACCCTATTCCATGCAGTCATTCAGGGACCCAGGTTTATGGAAGCTTTGACACCTTCATACACCTTCATACTTCCGCTGCCAAGCTAGTGGAAGGGGAAGAGGCATGAGGGAACATGCGTAGAAAGTTTTAAGGGCCAGGAATGGAAGTGACACATGCTCTCACATATATGCCACTGTCTAGATCAGTCACGTGGCCACACCTAGCTGCAAGGAAGGCTGAGAAAGATAGACAGGGGCTAAGCCCAGAAAGTGGAGGACACAGGGCATGGTGAGTAGCTGGAATCTGCCACATTCATCTTTGATTCCCAGCTATCTTCTGGATATATCCCTTGGCTGCCCCAGAGAAACCTCAAACTAAAGCTGTTCACAATCAAACTCATTAATGCCCCCAGTAAAACCTGCTCCTTCTATTCTATTCCTTTGTCTGTTAATGGTATAATAACCCACTCAGATGCCCAGCTACAAGCCTTTGAATAAACTTGACTTCTCCTTCTTCCCTGCATCCAACTTTCAGTAAGCTTTGGTGATGGCCATAAAGATGCACAGCTCGTGTCCCCTGCTGTGGGGACCACAAGTGATTGAAGGCCCCAGCTGCCGCCCTTCAGGATCTGTCTCTGGGCCTGCTCTGAGACCACCCTTCCCAGCTCATGATTGAGCACACATGCCATTCCTGCGAGATGTGGGGCTCCCTGCGAGGGAGACTGTCTTGGATCTGTGCTGAGCGTGAGCCTCTCCTCCCGTCCTTCCTTTCCTCTCCTTCACTGAACTCAGGCCTGCCTTGTGGTCTGCAGGCTCTAGCCATGTTCTCTGCTTCCCCCTTTGTCTTTCACATGTGTTTCCCTCAATACATCTCTTACAAACCAGTCTAACGTGTTGGCATCTCCTCTGAGGAGCTGACCTAAAGCAGTTTTCAAGTTGTCCTCTCTTTTCTATTTCCACCGCCCTCTCCCTTGTACCATTGCCAAAGCGCCCTAGTGGTCTCCCAGCCTCCAATCTGGTTCTCAAATAGTGCATCTATATTGTCACAATATAGATAGTAACATGTCACTCCCCTGATCGAAAGCCTTCAATCACTTCTACCTGCCAATTTCTTGGAACATCATTCAGAACCTTCACAGTCTCTGCTCAGCCTCACACCACCCACTGTCCTTCCCTCTCCCACGCCTGGATCGCTTGCTTTCCCCTGAAGGCACAGTGTTCCCACTCTGGGCTCCTCCCTCTACCAGAATGGCTTCCACCCATTTCTCATTCTATCAAAATCCTGTTCATACTAGTTCATTAGAGCCAGCTCAAACCCTCCTTAATCCTCAAAGACCTCTTCCTTCCCTCTTCTGGGC